CTGACTGTAAGACTGAAATTCTTCCTTAGTCATGCAGTTTCAACAAGTTCAAGGTGAACTTAATGACAAGGAGATCAGCTTGGGGCAGAAAGCATTGAAAAGAAGAGCGCGCTGGGGACTTTGTGTGACTCTCTGAGTCCCCAGCTGCATCTCTCTGTGGGCGTTTGGTGTTAGAAGGCTCCATCCCGAAGTGTTGCTCAGTTCTCTGTCAATGACTAGCTCCTCACTGATATGTTTTCTCCTCTTCCCTCTGGAGCAGACTTTAGTGAAGCTGTTTGCAAAACAAAACAAAAAGCAAAAAAAAAAAAAAAAAAAAAAAAACAGCGGCAGTGTGAAAAAGAGAAAAACAACAACCCAGCAGGTTTTACAATAAAAGAAACCATTTAGTTACTAAGTCTTGGTTTGTTATTGCAACATCCCAGCTCTTAAAAAGCTCTCAGTCGTTTTAGCTCACAGTCCTATACAGCTGATATTGTACTAACCAACCCTTCTAGAGAGATATTTTATTTCTTTACATTAGCAGACAAATTAATGATTTCATTCTCAACTCATCCAGTCCATTTCTATGCTTTTCCAGCTGTATTTGTATTCATCTACCACTTTTTCTGCTCTAATTGCCAGACCATAACTGCTCTTACATTATTTTCCTAGGAGCAATTCCCTGACTCTCCCTGGTCTAAAAGTGACATTATCTTTTATCCCTGGGGTTTCAGGCTCAACTAAGATATTTCCAGGTTGATTTTTTGTTACTTGCCAACCCCACAAAGGTTTAGCTGAGGAGGAGCAGAGGTCTGTGGCCAGATAACAATCTGAAAGCATCTACAGATGCCCATATTTGTCTTGAGGTTTTAAACAGTAGGTTGCAATGCCTAGGAAAGGACCTGTATTGCCAACTGCCAGCACTTACAAATGACAGGTTCTGCTGGTATCTGTGCGAGTGATAATGACACGTGGCCACAAATAGAAAGGGAATCAGGAGCATGAAATAGGAAGTGGCATGTGCAATGCTGCAATAATAGTATTTATACAGCAGCAGCACTTCGAGGCTGTCATCAGTGTGCTCCACTAAGCAAAAAGGCACTACGCAGACAGATGGAGGGCCACACGCATTCCACCTCATTTTTGTAGCCAAATCTTGCGTATTAGACGTGTAATTTCTGTAGGTTCTTCCACATCAAGACACACTCTGAAAGGTAACTCAGTTCCAGCTGATGTCTAGCACAGAACCTCACCTCTGCTCTCACTGCACAGCAACGGTGTTCAAGCTTCCTCAGCTTGCAGAAGCCTTAACGCTCCCTCTTGGAGGTACAGAGCCCTGCCTGGCAAACTGGAGCACACCGATACGTAAAACTGTGCAAAATCACTGCCCCAGGCCCTTCCAACTTACAGCTCTGGATTGATGAGGATAAAAACCCACTGCTCCAGAAGCAGCCGAAGGTGACCGCGCTCTCCAGTTAGGCATTTCAGACCAATACCTTATGTTACTTAAGATAAATCCAGGCCATCATTCTGGGCCCCAGAGATGTCAAATCCACACTTCAAATAATTACATTTAATTTGGAATACTTAAGTTTCTCATAGTGTCCAAGATTTTCCATATTGTTTTTCAAATTTATTACCTTCCACAAATTCAAGATACATATTTGGCTGTTCATCAGTGCAGGCTGATTTCAGTACAAATCAATGTCTGGTTTTTATCTTGCAGACAGACAGAAAGCTTTGGGTTGCTGGGTTGGTTTTTGTCAAAGCACATTTTTCAAAAACATAATATCTCGTATGCATTTTCCTATTTCTGTCACCACTGTCTAGGAAATCAGAGGAAGATTCATTGGCCAAGACACAGACACGCACTGACAATCATAATGGCAGCTCAGAAATAAAGACTTTTGGCTATTAATAATTAGTGGCAACTCCTCCTCCAGTTAACTGTGGATTTGAGGATGCCCTCTTTCTCTCTGATTTATCACACAGTTAGAAGGCAGAGATGCAGGAATCATGGAGATTCCTTATGAGATACTTTCTGCAACTCTTTTTTCTTTATGTTGGAGGGTGGGCATGAGCACCGTTGCAGGCACATTTCTATCATTCCACTCCAAGTTGAATTTGCAGAACATAGTTTTGTGCAACAGACAGGGAAAAGCAGCTTCATTGCTCCCCAGACTCCATAAGCCAGGTTTTTTCTTCAGCCATCACATGATAAATTTATTTGCTGGATGGCAGCATCAAGGGGGACGAGGCTGACAGTTATAGTTTATTATGTTAAGGAAAACGGAAAATACTAACTTTCAAGGAAAAGATCTTGACAATTATAGCTTTGTAAATTTGGCACAGAGTTTTGAAGGTTTTTTTTTTTTTTTTTTTGTGGGGGAGATATTTTTCAAATAAGGTTGTTTAAAAGTTTGTGCTTTAAAAAAGAAAGAATGGAAACAGATATCAATCTCCTTCCAGTGAGAATCTATGAGCAATTAAAACATTCCCAATTAAGTTCTTATCCTAATTTTCTGCATTTCCTCCGCTGCAGACCCAGGTTACAAGAAACACCAGCTGTCTGAGTTGTGACATCATTCTCAGCTGTTAACCCCCACACTTTTACAATGTATATTTGGAAGTAGTTCAGAAAAAAAAACAAATTAGCAAATGGCTGAGAAACAAATCACTACAAGAAATCAGTGTGCACATTACTGAGAATTCAGACATGACTCACAGCCAAAAAAAAATCCTATTCACAAAGGATTTCTTGCAGTTTAGTCTCTTTAAAACAGCTGGGGCTTGTGTGTTTTGAAAGTCACCTATGAAATGGGAATAACAAATGCCCGGGATACCACCTAATTTCTCCTTAAAGTTCAGATCTAACCTGCCACCCCTTTTCACAAGAGATGTTCTGGACCAGCTGAATAGGGACTGGGTTATTTGTGATCTCTCCTGTGTTTTCAGGTTCCCTCATCTCAAGGCTGTTCTCGGCAGTCACAAAACAAACACATGGCCGCAGAGCCCTCTTGTGGAAAACCAGACAGTTCTGGCAGGAGGAGACTATTACTCCTTGTTTTGCATGGGAGGAACAAGAAGAAGATCCTATGGATTGCTGTGGCAGGAAAAATCTAGGCAAGACATCCTGCTCACCCCATGCTTTTTAGGGGGGGGGGGAAAGAAAAGACAGGGAACAGAGGAAATTCCTCACATCAGAATGGGTAAATCATAGGTGGGCTGAGGGAGGAGGGAACCAGACTCTTTTCAGTAGTTGCCAGTGAGAGGACAAGGGGCAATGGGCACAAGTTGGAACATAAAGGGGTCCACTTGAATATGAGGAAGAACTTTTTCACGGTGAGGGTGACAGAGCCCTGGAACAGGCTGCCCAGGGAGGGTGTGGAGTCCCCTTCCCTGGAGATTTTCAAGACCCGCCTGGATGCCGTCCTGAGTGGCATGATCTAACATGCTCTGGGTGGTCCTGCTTTAGCAGGAGAGTTGGACTAGATGATCTCTATGGTCCCTTCCAATTCTAAAAAATCAGTGAAATCACTGAAATAAGATTGCCTAGGTTGAAAGGGATCTTTAAGATCAAGTCCAACCATCAACCTAACACTGCCAAGTCCACCACTAAACCATGCCCCCAGCACCACATCTACACAATATTATTATAGATACTGATTTCATTTCTGTGCAGATGTTGGTGCTATGTGGAAACTCCACAAAGCTGGCACACCTCGGCTTATGCACTGTGAGCTTTTATATTTTACAAAAATCGACTAATTGGCATAGTACTCACTGGCAGCTCATGATTTCACAAGCTCCTATTGACTACTTGCATTCTTTGAGTTAAAGTACCTTTGTAAACTACTGCACGTGCTCAGTGAGTAGGACTCTCATCTTGGAGCTGTACAGTTTAAGATTTGGAGGGGTGCTTTGCACACTATTATGAGCTTATCTCACTTAAAGGATGCATACTTTTTATTTTCAGCTCTTTGTAATACCCGGCACACTTGCAGCTTTAACAGAATCCCCCCCCTTTCTCCCTGGTTAGGTTCCTTGAGTCCTTTGGCTCTTTGCAGGCCGCTACCAAGGCCTTTTCTCCCTCAGCAACATCGCCCCTGCTCTGCCGCCATCAACCCCCTCACAAGCCTCTCTGGAGCCTCCGTGTGAGGCAGGAACGCTGGAAAGCAACGAGCCCCCCCCCCCCCCCC